CAGAAGTGTAAAGAGCAGGCTAGCAAACTCACGCAGGCCTGAACCAAAGTAACTCCATTTTGTGACTGGATTTCACAATGGAAGGTGGGTGGAACATATGTTTCAATTTTTTTTCTTCTATGCCTGCAGGGGAAGATGGGGAAAAGGCCTTTCCTCGCTGTCAAACTACATTAGCACCTGGGGATGGGAAAGGACCCTTTGATTACACCCTAGAGACCCTATTGGGGGGAAGAGTGTTCTGAGGGTGTTACTTGAGTGGTTTTAATAGCCCTGAGACAATGTCATTTTCATTGCTCCAGGGTTGACAAAATCTTTCCAAGGTCTACTGGCTGAGAAAGTCTACCTTAGTGCATCCACAGACCCAGGAACATGCTGCAAAGCTTGGCCAGGAGAATTGTCCAGCCTGTTCAGCTGTCCATCCTCTGACAAGGCAGTCGATACCCTCTGCTGGCATAGATGAGCTGGCTGTCATGTCCCCCATGTGTATCTAGACATGCTGTCCATTGCACAGTCATCAACAACTGAGGAGACCTAATCCTGATACGTGCACTCCAACACTGGACTACATAGTCTGTTATTCTCCCTGTGGCAAGGATCTGAGCTCAGCAGTCTAGTTGGGGAATCTCCCAAGAAACCTCACCTGGGGTGACCTTGGACTTGTTTCTTATATGCATCAGCCAGTGCAAGGTCAGGTTTGGTCTGTCACCTGTACCAGCCAACACACATGCTGGTCGACGCAGGTTGGTCAGTTCCTCTCCAGATTCACAGTTCGTGAGGTATGATGGGTGTTTTGGCCCAGCCCAGCCAATACCAACCAGCCTAACACAGACCCAGACCTCATGCACACCAGAGGGTGCCAAGTCCTAATTGGAGTGGCCCCCAATAGCCCCCACCCCAGTTTCTGCATGTGTCAGCCTCTGCTTCAGCTTAGCCGGGCCCAGCCCACAGCCCATCTGGCTCTCATGGGTGCTGTAGCTTAGTTCAGCCCACTCTGTTCCCAGGCATGGGGTGCTGCCTTTTCCAGCCTGACTCAGCTGCAGCTCTGGTTCTTGTGCTCACCAGCGATCAGAAGTTTAGCAGGGTATTGTCCAGAGTTTCCCTGCCAGGCATGTTCCCAGCCCTGGATCTCGCAAGGCCTTGTGTATCTTTTCAAGTAGAACTTCCAGGCAGTTGTGGTCCACTTTCGGTAGGAAAAGACAGAGACTCTGGTCAAAACTCTGGTCAGTTTATATAGAGTTGTCTCTTTGTTTTTTAATCTTTTAAAAGATTTACTTATTTGTATTTGAAAGGCAACCACACAGAGAAAAGGAGAGACAAAGAGATCTTACATTTGCCAGTTCATACCCCACGTGCCCGCAGTAACTGGAGCTGAGCCCACATCAAACCAGGGGCTCTGTGGACCTCTCATGTGGGTGCAGAGGCCCAAGGACTTGAGCCGTCCTCTACTGCTTTCCTAGGCCATAAACATGGAGCTGGATCAGAAGTGGAGCAGACAGGACATAAACCGGTGTCCAAATGGGATACCAACATTAAAGGCAGAGGATTAGCCTGATTTGCCACTGTGCCAGTCCATTTATTTGTTTATTTATAAATCATTTTGAGCTGAAATTGTGGCACAGCAGGTTAAGTGACTGCCTTTGATGTCAGCACTCCATTTTGGAGTGCTAGCCAGACTCCCAGCTGAGCCGCAGTTGCTTTACCTTCTATCTAGGTCCTTGCTAATGCTTCTGAGAAGGCGATGGAAAACAGTCCACGTATGTACGTGGCCCCTGCCACACACATGGAAGTGCAGTTCTGGGCTCCTGGCTCTGGTGTGGACCAGTCCTGGCCTGTGATGCCATTTAGGACATGACCCAGTGAGTGAAAGCTCTCTATCCCTTTCTGTATATGTTAACTCTGCCTTTCAAATTAATCAATACATCTTGAGAAAATATTTATTTTATTTACTTAAAAGGTGGGGGTGGGGGAAAAGATAGTGAGTTTGCCTATTTCCCTATTGACTGGTCCACTCCCCTCAGGCCAGGTCTCCCCCGTGGGTGGCAGTGACCCAACCACTGCAGCAGCATCAGCAGCTACCTGCCAGGGAGCACATTAACAGGAAACTGGAATTGGGAGTAAGAACTGGATGGGATATAGAAACCCCAAGGGGTCACTTTATCTGCTAAGCTGAATGCCCAGCTCTAGTAACCCCTTTCAGGGAGAGGCAATGTCTGGCCGTATAAGATCCACAGAATTGTTTGGTCCAACCATGCCAAGGCAACTGCAAGCAAGACTCAAAATGCAATAAATCCATAGCATGCTCATTTTCAAGTGGATCATTTGCATGACTGTCAAATGATGTTATAGATGTTATAAAATATCCAGGTGGCCCTTGGCAGAAAAAAAGTTTATCCTTTAAGGTGGCTCTGTTACGTTAAAAATACAGGATCTCAATTGGTTTGTCAAGGCACCTGGCATGCTGTGGATCCTTCCCAAGCATGTTACTGAATTTTGAGGATGCTGTAAGATTGAAGTTGGGTCAAATGGACATTCCTGCATCTCAGTGAGAGCTTTCAGACGGAGCCTCCGGTTGAGCTGGAGCTGAATGCAGAGGGCGGACGGAGGCGGCAGGTGAGAGGTGAGGAGCACACTGTCATGTCGACCCCCCAGCAGGAAAGACGGAAGTCTCTGGCAGCATGGGCAACCTTCGCCTGCTAAGGACTGAGTGCAAATGGAGCAGAATGCAACTGTTGGTGCAGCCAGATGGGTTGAAGCTCAGGAGAAGGAGCGGGACATGGCTGTGCTTTCCTAGCCCTGTCATTGCTTCTCAGTGTTGACTTAAGTTCTAATTTCTTCAAGTATGCCATCAAAAATTGAAATGTTCAAGAGGTACACACACACACACACGTAAAATGGCAAACATCTTGTTCCATTGTCTTGTCAGGTAGCTACCAAGCATCCTTTCACATCACTCACCTCAAATGAGCATCATCTTGTTCTTTTTTATCTGAACCACACAACATGTGAGCCCACTAAAATCTGAGGAATTGTATGAGCTCTTCAAGATAGCTTCCCCCTTTCCCATGCTTTTCCTTATCTTTCTTTCATAAGCAGGATTATGAGGTTGCTTAATAGGGTTTTAATATTGTCATGAAAAACTCCTCGTGTGGCCATGCTCGTGCAATAGATAACACAACTCTAAGAGCCTTGTTCATATGCCCTGATTTGAATGAAGTGGACAGACACCAAGGCAGCGTTTCAGAGGTCAGTTCTCCTTCACCTGTTATCGCATTTGCAATAGACAGAATGGCCACTAGGCGGAGCTAGGGTTTAAGAAATCCCAGCCCTCAGCTGGGCGACGGATGCCAGGGGAGTTTTCAAAGCTTCTGCTGGCCTTCCCTGCCCCTCTGCTAAAAACACTCATCTGTTTTCTTTGTGTCGTCTACATGATCAGAGACAAAGGGTGATATTTGTGATGAATGCAGTCACCCCACGACAACAATGTCTGACCTGAGTACAACACTTCACAGCTCACAGTGCTGTTCCTCCCATACCTGGTTTGATCTTCCTGCCTGGCAACTCTGAGAGAAGCCTGGCCAAGGATTTCCTTTTCTTTGTTTGAGATGAACCGACTGAGACACGATGTCTTCACAATACAGCAGGATGTGTCAGGAGGGTGAGCCTAGACAATTGGGGTTCCAGGATCCTGTTTGTTCTTCCTCAGGGTTTGAGTAGACACTTGAGGCAGTCTGAAACAGACATTCAGCTCACCGCTTCTGTGCCGGCTTAGCCTCCTGCCAGCATCCCGTGGGGAAATAAAGTGAGGAGGCAGGTGCACAGTCTGTGTGAGAGCAGAAAGCCACCACGACAAGTGAACAAGCCAGTGCTGTCTTAGCTCAGAACCCCTGGGTGTGTGCGGTTCTCCTGCTGCCTGGGGCAGCTGGGATGACCAGCACTTGCAGTCCAGGCTGACAGGAACTTAATGTGGTTTGGGAAGCTGGTCCATAGGGCACCTGCCTTTAAGTCTGTTAGGCAGTTTATCCCTCACTTTCCAGCATTATACACTGATCTAAGAGGTGCTGGTGCTGCTGGAAACTTCCGTACACAGACACTTTCTGGGCCTTTTGGCAACCCATTTGCTGGCCAATGGTATTGAGGCAAGGGAGGAAATTGGTCAGACACCTGTGCCTGTGGACAAATGCGATCCCTGCAGCCTCCACTGCGGTGAGCCCTTTGCAAATACGCCCTCTTCTGTTCTTTTTTCAGTTAGTGTAGCATCTATTTCCAGAAGTCAGCGCAACGGCGAACTCATGTATAGCTCACTAATATTATACTATATATAATAATTATAACTCAGTAAATCTTTCCCGAGGAATCCATTTTTAGGTTCTTTGATCAAAGCCTTGTCAGCTCTCAACAGTCTATTTCCAATAAAACCAAAGATATGCAGGTTAGATTTTTCTGTCAATTAACATTTCCTAAGTCTTAGCAAAAGCGGAGTGTGGAGCCACTAACGTGCAGAAGAAAACTTACGCCCTGGACAGCGACAACTCCCAGTGCCAAGTTGGTCCTCCTAGGAGATAAGTTGGAGGATGACGGGCAAACACACACACTGGCTTCAGAGCCCAGGGCGGGTCCACGTTCATGAGTCAGACTTTGGAAACGAGCTGCTCTGGGGGCTCCCGCGGTCCCAGGGCTCTGACTGACACCCCCCCTCCCCAGGCTCGCGGTGACCTTGCCGGGGCGACTCAAGGCGCGGCGTGCACGCGTTTCCCGCCTGTGCCCAGAGGGGGCCGCTGCGCCCCGGCCCCGCGTCCCTGGGCCGCCGCGGGAGCCCCCGCTCGCTCTCCCGCAGGCCGGCGGGGGCACGCACTCGGCAGGGGGCGCCGGCAGCCCGGCCGCGGCTCCCTCCGCCCACCCCGAGGCGGCTGCGGCGAGCCGAGCCCCGCGCGAGTGCACTGCGAGGCGGGCCGCGGGCAGGCAGGCGCGAGGAGGGCGCCAGGGGCAGCGCGCGGGAGCCGCCGCCCGTGCCCGCCCGGGTCCCCGCGGGGGCGCATGGGGCGCTTGGAGCCGGCGTCGCGCGCGGGCCCCGCGCCCAGCTTGCAGCTGCCGTGAGGAGCCGTGCCGGGACGCCCCCCCCCACCAGCCCGGAGCTGCTGGGAGGATGACCATGGCGGGGGGCCGGAGGGGACTGGTGGCTCCGCAAAACACGTTTCTGGAGAACATTGTCCGGCGCTCCAATGGTAAGGGGCGCATGGGGTCACGCTCACCCAGGCTTCTCATCCGCGCCTTTATTATTCCGGACTCCCCGGAGCCAAGGCGCGGGTGCCCGGGTCTGCTCGGGAGGCTGGGAGAGGTGGGCCGGGCAGGGTCTGTGGGAGCCCCAGCCGAGGGGAACGGCTCTTCTGCGGACGCCTTTCGGGCCTTTCCCCGACGCTCTCGGTCTCACCTTCAAGAGAGCGTGGCAACCGAGGAACAAAGTCCTGGGAAAAGTGAAGGGGACCCGGGCGCCGCGGGCGCAGGGGCGCGCAGCCCGCGGTACTGGCCCCCGGCAGTCTGCGGAGGCTGCGGGGCTCTTGGGCGGCTCTTGGGGCGCCGCCTCTGCCCTGGGGCCGCAGCATGCTGGAGAGGTAGGCAGCTACCGCTCCCGCACCCGTGCCCGTGGGACTGGAGGATGCAACTGCCTCCACTTTGCGTATCTCTGGCTGAAGAGTCCGAGGGGCAGGAACATGGAGATGCAGAGACTCGCTGTCAGCTGGGCTGCCTGATGCCATCTCTTTGCCTGTACACCCACCCACTTTGAGGTTGAGCCAGAGCTCGCGAGGGGCAGATGGTTTTTCCAGGCTTGGGGCAGGGAGGTAGCGGGGGGCGCAGAGCGCAGGGCTGAGCGGTCTATAGGTACGAACCTGATCGTATTTCTTCAATTCCACACTCACACCTGTGCTTTATGCCACGCGTAAAATACCAAACTCGCCAAGCCTTATAACCTCTGCTCGACACTCCCGTCTCTCCAGGGGCCTAAGAAGGGCAGCAGCGTGGAGTGCCCGGGAGACCAGGGCCCCGGGGACGGGGCTGGAAAGGGAACAACTTCAGGTGTGCCTGTCGGACCCACGTCGGGAGCACTTGGCATTGCAGACCCAAGTCCTGGCTGCTGGGAAGGTGTGGCTCTCCCTGCTCACCGCAGGGACGGGGCAGCCCAGCCCGACACGCTCTGTGCGCGCTGCGAGACTGCGCTCTGTCACAGGTGCCCTTCTTCCGCCTCTGGGAGAACGTGAAGCGCTCACTCAGGAAACGGGCTTTACTGATGAGTAAACATCACCGACTCAGAGCCTTCAGGACCTTGTGTTTAAATAAAACAACGAATTTCCATCTGGATTGAGTAAGAGCATGAAAAGTGACTTCTGCTGCTAATAAATATTCTAACAAGTGATTCAAGTTTATCTTGCAAGCGTGGTCGGCTGGGATAGCAAGTCATCACGCACTGTTTAGCACGATAGGAGCCTTTCTTTATCGTGTGCCTCAGTAGAATGCTGGGGTTTCTGGTCCGTTGGGGGAAAGGCACTTGGATGGCTTTTAGAGCAAGGTCGCAGCCATTGCCCAAGGCTGCCAGGGAGGTGACAGTTACCAAATGAACAGCCGCAGCGAACCCCTCCTGCCTGTGAAGGAGCTGGAGGTGTTCATGGGTGTTAACACACAGCCAGGATGTCAGAGTGACCGTGCTGTTGTTGCTGATGCTGTTGGGTTCTTAGGGACTGTCTTACAGATCTGGGCAGTCATGGTCGGTGGCATCAACTTTGGCAGAGTTCTCTGTGCCTATTCGGTGTTTTGGTGGCGAGGTGGTGTCCTCTCCCGGGAGAACGCCCGTGTGTAATGCGTGCTGTGCAGGCAGGGGAAGGAGCAGAGTATTCTCCCTGTGACCGTGCGAGGGCTCCTGGGGTGTGCAGACAGGAGAGCCCAAGGCAGGTTGGGGCTGGGGCTGGGATGAGAGAACACCTTTTAGTTTCCTGGATGTCTTTGGGCCACTTCCCAGCTGTAATTACACACAGACTGGCAATAGAGTAAGTCGCTGGGGTTATTTTTAGCAGTGGCATTTTCATTTTAGCACCAGTTCTCACGTCTTGATATAAATTATTTAGCCAAATAACATCAACAGTGTAACATCTTGGGAGAATTGGATGAACTTTTAAAAAATCATTTCAAATGATTTAAATATTGAAATATGGATTTTAAGTTTTTATGGATCCTTTTCATAGTATGTTTTCAGCACAAATGGAAAAAAAAAGTGAACTCTAGAACCACTGCAGTGTCTGCATGCATTAAATTATTTTCCTGCGATGGGAAAAGTCCATTTCAAAATATTGATTGGCTCTTTCTAAATTCTACCACCATATTTTCAGACATTGCAGTATTTAAATACCATTTTATCTTTAAATAGAAATGCTTTATGATCATTTTATTAGTGATTTTCTTCCAGGGGACCTTATGGGATTATTATTCCTTTTACAAAGTAGAAAATTGGGCCCGGCACGATAGTCTAGTGGCTAAAGTCCTTATCTTGCACGTGTCAGGTTCCCATATGGGTACCAGTTCATATCCCAGCTGCTCCACTTCCCGTCCAGCTCCCTCCCTGTGACCTGGGAAAGCAGTGGAGGACGGCCATTGCCTTGGGACCAAATCTGTGGGAGACCCAGAAGATGCTCCTGGCTTCGGGTCAGCTCAGCTCTGGACATTGTGGCCACTTGGAGAGTGAATCAGCAGATGGAAGGTCTTCCTCTCTGTCTCTCCTTCTCTTTGTATATCTGATTTTCCAATAAAAAGAAATAAATCTTAAAAAAAAATAGAAAACAGAGTGCTAGGAGTGTTAAGATATCCAAAGGGCAGAGGTTGTTCTCGAGGAAATGTTGTCCTTGTGTTGGTATCGTTGTTTCTCGAGTCCTCACGACTCATTCTGACGCTGCTGTCATCATTCTAACCACCCCTCCACTCATGTTACATGCAAATAGAGCTGACTGCATTTCAAGTGTTTCAATATCTGATACCTGCACTATTACAGAACTGGAGGAGGAGATGAACTATAGATATTATGTCATTTACATTTCCTTTCCCATCATTGTGGATAAAAAGAAATTGATGATGGGGCTGGTTGTACCATATCAGGTTAAGCTTCTACCTATGACACTAGTGTTACATTTGGGTACTAGATCAAGTCCCAGCTCCTCCACCTTCAGTGTAGCTCCTGGTAAATGCACCTGCAGAAGTGGACCACGTGTCTGGGCCCCGAGATCCCCGTGGGAAACCTGGAAGAAACTCGAGGTTCCTGGCTGTGCCTTGACACAGCCTTGGCTGATGGCAGTCATTTGGGAGTGAACCAGTGATCGGACTCTTATCTCTCCTCTCTCTTTCTGTAACTCTGCTTTGCAAATAAATTAAAAAATTCTTTAAAATGCACAGACATTGATGCAAGCAACTGTCCTCAAATATTTGAGGGCAGGACTGCTGAGGCCCGAAGCTACTTGACTCCAGTGTCACATTCTTTACGCTGAACTACGCAGCAACATTCCTGTGTTAGCATGATTTTCCCTCCAGAAGCTTAATTTCCCAGTGGAGATTAAATAAAATGTTATAACAACAAGAACAACATCCATTTTGGCTAGCGGCCACACTACCACATCCAAGCAGACGAGCAGGGCAAAGGAGAGGCTCATTACATTTCAAGGAAGTGCTATCTATCCACCTCTGTGTGTGGTTAAGGCTATAACGGACACTTGGTATCTGTCTGCCCTGTGATGAAGTGCCAAGTCACTTTTCAGAGAGTATGAAGTTTCCCATAGGTCAGCAGAGATGCAGTGCTGCCATTTTATATGTTATTACCATGTAACAAATAAATGTATTTGAAACAGAGGAGAAAAAGAGGGAGAGGAAGAGAGAAATCTTCCATTTGCCACACTACTTCTTGGACACCTACAAAAGCTGGGGTTGGACCAGGCTGAAGCCAGGAGCTGGAAATTCCATATTGGTATCCTATGTAGATGGCAGGGACCCTGCTTCCCCGGGGAGTGCACTGGCAGAAAGCTGGGATCAGAAGCAGGAGTGGGACTCAAACACAGTCATGCCACCATGGGGTGCCAGTGTCCCAAATGGCATTGTAACTGTTATGTCAAATGTCTGTCCTGTGTTTGCCCTTTTAAAATTTAAGAAACTAAGAACTGACGGTTTATTGGCTTGCCTACAGTTAGTAAGAGGTAGAGTTAGAAAAAGGCAGAGGTGGATCAGGGGCTTTATTTATTTATTGTTACTGCTTTATTTATTCCACAAAGATTTCTTGAACATTTCTTGAACATCTAGTTGACAGAGATTCTCCTTCCCCTTAGGAAGTTATGTTCTGGTGGATCTAGGTTCATGGTGTTTGCTGCTGTTTCACCATGTGGCATTTTATTGAAAAATATTTTAAAGGGGTTTATTGATGATGTTGGCATAGAGGTCTGGTTTAACTTTCTTTGGTACATTTGGGTATCATTGGAAGGAAAGGTTTGGTCATTATTTGTGCTTGTATTGTTGCTAGGTAGTCAGCAGGAAGGATGAAGGCCCCAGAAGTGACTTGATTTTGCTGGTGGTCTTGTTGGTGATCATTTTTAGCCTTGTTGGTTCTGTGACATATAGGCAGAGTCAGCCTGTGTCTCCCTGTATTCCTGGTTGGAAAATGTTGTTTTGGAATATCTTCTGATGGTTGCTTCAGCCTGCAGACTCTCGTCAGAATGCTCGTTGAAGTAAATAGGAGATCTGTCTTTGGAAAGCTGGCAGACCTGGGTGCCAGGAAACCGCAAAAACGTTGCTCTAAGTGGTCCCATTCTAGGCAGAACATATGTTTTAGTGCTCAGGAACCTATATCAAACAATGATAGGTGCCAGTAGGAATCCATGCATATTAGTAGGAGAGACACGTGGCACACCGTGGCACAGATTTATGTCCATGTATAATTTACAGATTGCTAACTCAGCTGTGTTTTCATACAGTTAAGTTGGTTCAGGGTGTTGTTGATGTAATTAGTAGCAAACAGGATGAGAGCCGCAGGGGATGTTGTGTCTCCTGGTAGGTGCGTTGAACCATGATCATATTTATGAAACACAAAGCTGGTTGCAACCTTCATGGCTCTGAAAGGGGAGTGCAGGGTGATCTGGGTTACTGCCAGCTCAGTAGTCCTGGCTTTTTCTTGCCACAGGTTTTGAGCTCACCTTCAATTGGG